ATTTAGGTGAAAAATCAGAAGTCCAGTAGGATTATGACTACCATAAAAACAGGCACACATCGCAACCCAGGGTAAGGGTGTGCAAAAATGAGCATTAGCAGTCTTGGGCCATGAGCTTTTCTTGTAATGTTATGCTAACCTTAGAGGTTTCCAGTAATTATGTATTTTCAGAGCCAGTCACAAATATTTGTCTGTCCATGACTCCAGTTCCCTGAGGAACTCCGTCATTGGATTATCACTAACACTGAAAGAATTGAGATCAAGAGGAATCAGGAGGAATGAATGTCACTTGAAATAATTTTAATATACTGCTGCATAAGTCTAGGGCATAATTTTGTACATTTATTTATTTATTTTGACTGGCCAGTACAGGGATTGAACTCTAGATCTTGGTGTTATCAGCAACACGCTCTAAGCAACTTAGCTAACCAGCCAGCCTTAGGGGAAAATTTTAATAAAGTCTGGATAGAGTTAAAATTTCTAGGTTTGAAACTGTCTAATGATATAATAATGTGTTGTTTCTTTTCTACGTTGTACATTCATCTTTGATTACTTGCCCAGTTCGGTGCTTGGAATAAACTTCTAGAAGTGAAATTGCTGAGTCCAAGGGAGAGTATATGTTAGATTTTGATATATTGGACAAATTGCATTCTGGAAAGTTAGTATTACTAGTGTACATACCCACCCACAGTGTATGAGGGCCCATGACATTGTCACTCCTGACGATCTTTATCACTCTTGTCAATGGGTGTCAGACACACACACACACACACGCACACACACAGAGGGTCAGGTGTGAGCACCATTTTACATGTTTATTGTCCATTTGTAAGCTTGTTTTTGATTCATTTTTTTCTCTTGCAGTGTTTTTTGGGGGAGGGGTAGATTTCAAGAAAGAACAGCTGTTGAGTAGAGGCGTGAGGAGATGTGTAAGGTGACGCTTCTCCTGTTTAGTGCACTTGCGCTTTCCCAGTGTGGCTCCTTCCCCATTGATGATGCCTTTTCCTGCACACAGTTTACAATGTTTTGTTGTCATATTTTCAAGCTTTTCCTTCATGGTTTCTACCAAGTTTACAAAGTCTTCCTCCACTCTAGTGTTGTACATTTATTCTTGTATATTTTCTTCTACTATTATGGTATCTTTAAAAAGAAAAGAATTAATCTTCCTGAAGAATTTGTGTGTGTGTTGTGTGCATGTGCGTGATGTGATGTGTACATGTGTGCACATGTGTGCATGTGATGTGTGTGCACGTGTGATTGTGTGTGCATGTGATGTGATGTGTGTATGTGTGTGTGTGATGTGTGTGTGCACGCATGTGTGTGGTGTGATGTGTGTGCATGCGTGTGTGTGTGATGTGTGAGGTACTGTTCATCTTTTCCTGTTTTTCCACGTGGACCACTAATTATTCCACATCATCTATTGAGGAGGGCAGCAGTGGAAAATAGAGGGAGGGTTAAGCAGGAGTACTCTAGAATCTTCCAACCAGCTTCACCACCTGGTGGCCAAGTGATGCTTCTCCCTTCCCCCTCTAAGCCCATTTCCTCGGCTGTGGACTGGGGGTAACCTGGGGCCGCCTCACAGGTGGGCGTTGAGGATCAAGTGGGAGGTGGTCCACAAAGCCTAAGCACAGGGCTAAGGATGCAGGGGATGTGGACCACGTGGAAACAGAAAGGGATGGAACAGACAGACCCCAAAGCCTCCCAGGCCTGGAGCAGTTCAGGCTGCTGGGATTCTAACCAAGTGTCCCCCACACAGGCCACTTACCTTGCAGTACCTACCCAAGTGCCCCAGCACTGGAAGGGAGCACCGAGGGTGCCTGGTAATTTGAGAAAAGAGTGTAAAGAGCAGCAATGTGTCTGAAGCTTTAATGTGCATGCAGGTCTCCTGGGGATCATGTTAACACAGACTCTGACCCAGCTCCCTGGGTGCCAGCCTTGGAGTGGTAAGGGGCAGAGCCCAGACCTGACCAGCATTGCTGGTCCAGAGCAGCAGTTCTCATGGTTTAGTGGGCATCAGACTCCCCTGGAGTCAAACCCTGGTGGCCAGGCCCACCCCCAGAGTCTCTGATTCCATCGGTCTGAGGTCAGGCTGGGAGTCTGCATCCCTGACTAGTTTCCAGGTGAGGCTGATGCTGCTGGCCTGGGGCCCACACCTAGAGAACCAAGGCAGGTATGGGTGGGCTGGGTTTATCCCACCTGCGTGCCCTGGGGCTATACTCCAGACACTGGGTGTACCCCCTATGTGAGGTGGACAGATTCTCAGGCCCACCAGGACCTGGCTGGGATGCCCAGTGTCCCTCAGAGTCCTTGCCTTTCTATGCGTGGATTCTGCTTATCACCATCCTTGTGACCAAAGTGTCTGATTCCTGATGTTTAGACTCTTGTGGAGTGTTAAGGGTCAGAGTCCCCCACACTTCCCCTGCGCCCTTCCTGGGATGACTTTTGGGAGATCATCTGGTGTTTCCCAGCCTTTCTACACCATGGAGCAGTGTTTGTCAACCTTGTTCAGTGTGTCCACATCCTGAGACTTCGGAGTTATCTAGGCCTAGGGTCTAAAGGACAAGCGCTGTCCCTGTGTGGGGATGGCCCCTGTGGTTGTCTGCCCTAACACTGTGCCCTTCTCTTGCAGCGCCGGCCCCCAGTGCCAGCCTCCCAGCATCTGAGGGCACTGCCGTGCTGGGTCCAAGCCTCCAGTCCCCTGATGGCCCTGCAGGGGCCCTGACACCCCAGCCTTCCTCCCCATGCCCTGGCTGTGCATCCCCAGATGCTCCTGGCGTGTGCACGCGAGCACAGCCAGGTCCTGGGCACGTGGCCCGTTCTGCCAGTGACCCCACCTCATGCGCATCCTGCAAGGCAGGTAGGCTGGCTGGGCCCACCTGTGTCCCAGGGTGTGCCCAGCATTGCCGTGGACACTGCAGGTTTCAGTGACCCCTGAGAGCTGAGGCCTGGCACTGGGAACTGTGGGTGGGTGATGGGCATCCTGTGGGCTCCTGCTGTGCCCCCTGCCACCGGCTTGTCACTCTGACCAGGAGGAAGGATGTGAGGGCTTAGGGTGATGAGGGCCCATTAGCTGTGAGTGCCATACACACCTGCTCCAGGGCACAGGAAGGACCCAGGGTCAGGCCCAGGGCAGGTGACCACAGGTGATATCTAGGGGTAGGGGGTGTCCTCAGCCAGAGCTTGGGGCAGACATGTGTGCGTTTCATCAGCACTTCATGGCACCCTTGACAGTGTTCTGGTGCCACCTGGAGCCTGCTAGAATCCCCCAAGTGACTGTTGGAGCGGGCAGTGCCCTGGGCTGTAGGACTTGGCACCAGAGTCCCTGTGGCCAGTGGCCCAGAAATTTGTATTTCACACCAGCTCCCCCAGGAGTCTTGTGCACCCCAGTGTTGGAAAACCCATACCTCATGTTTTTATGGGGGTGGGGATAGTTTCTGCCAATAAAGATTGGTGGTCCTTTGTGATGCTATCACAGTGCAGTGGGGACTTTTTCATAAAGTGGAAGTGAAGGAACCCTGAGGACAGCCCAGTTAGGTGCCTGGACCAGTGTCCCCTCGGTGGTCTTGTCCAGCTGAACTCCAAATAGAGTCCAACTGAGCCCGGAAGAATGGAATCCTTGAAAAGAGCCAGGAACCCCCAACAGGCAGTGCCCAGAAGTACCCTCCTGGTTGAAATGTCATCAGATCTTGCAGTGGTGGGCTCCTTGGCTGCACGCCTCTCTCCTTCCTCCATTCACTTTCTGGTTCACGTAGAGAAAGTTCCATAGAATATTCTGGAAACATCCACCTCTGCTAGTTTGTTCTGAGCTTCAGAGCTTCTCTTCCCCCTGCAAGGGCCAACACATGGCCTCTGTGTTCATGGTCACTCACTGGGTGTAGGGGAGGAGCCCACGCACTTGGAGGGCCTCAGGGGTCCATTCTGTGTTCCCCAATGCTTCTCTTTGGCCTGTCCTGCCGCAGTGAAATTCATGGTTTGCAAAACATGACATTTCAGGGACAGAGATGAAAGGAAGAGGTGGTCCTCAGTCCTTCTCTGTAGGCCGCCCACCACCCTGTTGCCTCCGGCTCCTCTCGGCTACATGAGACTGTTCCTGTTGGGCACATCGAGGGCACATGCCTTCTGGGGTCCCTGGAGAACCTCAGATGCAGATGGGTGCTCTGTGAAGGGCGCTGGCCACTATACTGTGCCAGGGGTGGGGCCACGGATAGACACTGCCTGACCCACCACGGGCTGGCAGGCCGCATGTCTGTTCTGTTTTATCTGGACAGGTTTGCTTCAGTTCAGCAGGTTTCTTCTGCTTGTCTGGCGTCTAAAATACACATGCACATCTCAGCCACAGCGGGTTATTATAGTTTGAACAATAATTCCTTTATCCTTTTCACGTGCTAATGGGATCCTCTCTGTGGCTAAGGTGACGCCTCTTCACACACCCCTCAGGCAGCCGGGACCTCGAAGCAGGACTGTCTTGGGCTGCTCTGGGTAACAGTGAGACGCTGCTTTTCTAAAGCAAGGTGACCGGGGTCCTTTGCTGCACCATTTCTAAATCCAGCTGGGAATGTGAGTTCTCACCTCTCTGGACTCTGGAGGAACCTTTCCCTTCCCTTGTCTCTTGTGCAGTTACATCAGAGGCACTAACGACTTTCACACACATATGGCTGCTTGCTTTATTTATGAGATTTTACTTGGGGGGTAGATTGGCCCCACATTTTTATAGTTTCTCATGTCTAATTGCCAGGCTTTCTCATTGCCACCAAAAAGACCCCAGAACAAATCACCCAGAATGTGTTTACTTTCAGTGACCTGAAATGGGTTGGGCAGGTCTGGCCTTAATCTGGTCCTTGGTGAGTCGGTCATGGCTGACTGCCTGGAACTGGCTTTCTGAGGTGCCCTCAGACCAGTTCTGTGGATTGTGCAGAGTGGCCATCGGCCCTTTGGGAGCTGGAGCCATTTCTCCAGCCCCTGGCCCGGCAGGCAGCCCGGCTGCTGTCCACACCTGGAATGGTGGGGGGTCTCATTGCTCCTCTGCCACCCCCAGCTCTGGTCTTAAGGCAGACCCCTTCTCTAGCTGCCACGATTCTGCCCTGGCTAGCGATCACACCCACAGGGACAAAGGTCATTGAGGCAGGAAGCCAGAAAGGCAGCTCTGTCAGTGCGGGGACTCTAGCGGAGAGGAGTGCAGAAGGCGGGTCCCTGTCCCGCACCTGCCCTTCTCCCTGCCTGCTTTGCAGTTCGCCCCCCTCCCCAGGCCTCCAGCTGCAGGAGGCTGTGGCCCCTGTAGGTGAACACCAGCTTAGCTCAGGCTGGGAGAGGACAAAGGACACAGGAAGCCCAGACGCACCCAGACCTCCAGCCCAGGGATACGGAAATCCAGCAGAAGGCTTGTCCCAAGAGTGCATTGTGTTGCTTCTTAAAGAATGTGTTTAATGGCCGCCTTTTGTTTCGTGTTGTTTCCATGTTTCAAACTGCATCTTTTCCCTTGATTTTTAGTTTCCATGTCATGCTCTGCCATGGCTGCCCATCAGCACCAGCTTTCACCCCTCGGGGACCTGGATACCTGGGAAATGGACCAACAGCCAAAGCCAGAGGCCTTACAGATGGTCTCCAAAGAGCTGCCACACTCTTCAGTGGACAGCAAGGCCTGTGCAGACCCCAGGGTTTTGGTGGCTAAGCTTTTGGAACATTCACACTGTGCCCTCCCTGCCGAGGTGCGGCATGTGGTGGGCACCGTCCGCTCGGCGGTCACCTCTGAGGAGCGCCCCGTGGAGGAGGCCGTCTTCGGTGCTGGCGTTCTAGACCAGGTGTGAAGGGCTGCAGGTCTAGACGTGGACACCGACAGGCCTGCCAGCACAGGCTGTTCTTCTGTTCTTGCCAGAAGCCACCATGCTGGGCGGGGAGAGGCCTTCAGCCCCAGCATGGAGAGGACAAACAGGGACACCCAGGAGTTTCTGGGAGTGGCGTGGGCGGGGAACTGTCATTGCCTTTCTTGAGGTGGATCCAATCAGTTATCTTCTGGGGGTTACATTTCCTACCTATTCCAGTAATTCAGAAAGATGACCCACATGTGTCCATAGTGAACTCTTCAGTTTTTTCTGGCGTGTGGCACCTTGAACTGGCCAGCATCACATGAATACAAATGCAGCAACAGGTGACACTCATCTAACTGAAAGGCTTCAAAATCAGGGCCATCAGGATTCTCCCCCATCCCGAATTTAGTGTTAAGTGGATGAAGGATGAGGTCAAGTGATGAGACCATCTTTTCAAGTGGTTCGTATTGCTCTCAAATCAAACTGTTACCATATTCTGACCTATTTCCTTTAAAAGGAATCAGGTCATTTTAGCACAGATGGCAGCTTGGGCCTACAGAACTACAGAGCTAGTGCGCAAACAGATATACAGTGAGGGACCCGGTGGTGGCCCGGCCACTGCTGGGAAGCAGGCAGGTGTTGCTGGGGGCCTTGAGGACCCACCACCATCTCTCGGTCTCGCGGGCCTGCCCCCTCAGCCTCTTTCCATGGGGTCCCTTCCCCACTTTCCTCCGGGTTCTCTCCCTCTGTGGTCTCTCTCCCTCAGCTAGAGCAGCCACATTACAGTTTTTTGTCCCATAACAATGGGCAGCTGTTCTGAGACTCTTTGCATCTGGCCTGCCCTGATTGGCCTTGATGGGTCAGGCCCTGGGGAGAGGCCCATTTCTCTGGGACGTGCATACCTCCTGATAGAGCAGAGCTCTGATGACCAGTGCCGTCCCTCCCCTAGCCAGGTGACAGCAGACACGCCTACACTGGATGACACAGGTTGGAGGTCATTTATTTCTGTGAAAATGCCCACCGTGTTGGTGATGCAGAAGCAGGCAACCCAGCCTGGGTGCAGCATGGGCACCTTTGGGCAGCTTGGGTGCTTTTGACTTTCTTGGATCCTCAACTCATCACTTTTTGGCAACATGAGCGGCAGCTGCTTCCCAGCAGTGGCTGACGAGCAGTACTGTCCACGAGGACTTTCTACAGGGATGTAAATGCCTGTGTCTGGGCCGTCCAAAGCAGCAGCCACTAGCACACAGGGGTGTTGAGTCCCTGAACCGTGGCTAGTGGCCCCTGCAAGGCACAGAGCAGCCCAGAACCCGCAAGCCTCATCAGAGAGCCCATGGGCCTGGCGTGACCAGAAGGTGCCCACCACTGCTCAGTGCAGGGGGCAGACCAGAAGTTGCCCACCACCGCTCAGCGCCCAGCTCCTGGGGCTCCTGCCGCTCTCCCCTCCACTCTGTGTGGCTGGGCCTGTCCTTGAGCCCCTGCCCTCGTTCCTCAGCCCCCAACCCCACTGGAGCCAGCGTGCTGGGGCGCTTCTTGTGGTTGGAAACTGGGGAGGGGGTGAGGGGTGGGGTCCAGCCCAAGCATCCAGAGCCTTCATCCCAAAATTGAGGTGTGGGAATCTGCAGCAATGGCAGCCATGAGTGTGTCGACCACTTTACTAATGTTACCAGTTGTTGCCTCCAAGTTAGCTGAGAAAATATAAATCAGGCTTTTTGATGACAACTTTAACCTTTCCACGAGAGACATAATAGAGATGAGTTTATGAGCACTTTATTCAGACTATAAAACAGGAAATCTATTCTCTAATTTTTTTCAAGTGAGGGCTTTTGAAGTCCCAAAAAGCAAGTCTCTTTGCAGGTGAAGTTAACCAATGGATTTCCAGAATGAACTCTCCAGCCTATGAGCAATGTGTCTCCCTGCCCCCCCCCCCCATGCCTGGCATCTCAGCTTGGCCAGCTGCAGGGAGTCTGCCTGCTTGGAGCGGGGATCCACATTTGGGCTTGGAGACTCACCCAGCCGTGTCCCTGGGCCAAGCCTTGGGTGGGCTAACCCTGCATTCTCAGGCCTGGCTGTGGCTGGAGTGAGGCCAAGACCACCTCCCACCAATCAACTCAACCCCTGGGGTATTCTCATCATGCAGCCAGGGTGAGGGACCAACAGGCCACCCAGCAGGTGCTGTGTCCTCTGCCATGGGGTCTTGTGCCCCAGGCTGAGCTGCCTCCCAGGCGCAGACTGATGCTGTGCGGTTCACACACCGCTCACGCTCAGTTCTGTATTTCCCCTCACAGCAACTTACTTTGTGGACAAGGAGATTGTACCCGGCTTTATGCCGCTGGGCTAGAACCTTCTGCCTCCTGGAAACAAGGCTGTCAGGCACGGGGGTGGGGTACAATGCAGCCAAACAGGGTCCTCCGCCTGGGCTCAGGAGGGCCCAGGCTCCCAGCTTCCAGGAAAGCTCCCCAGAAGAGAGAAGTGCCAGGAGAGCCCCTGGAGAACACGCTGGCATCTTGACTCAGCAGCTCTGATCCCTTGGACCCCAGCTCAGCTGCACTAAGTACTGGGAGCTCCAGCAGTGGCACCTATGCCCCCGGGCATGTGAGCTCACGGCCAAGGGGACAGCTGGCTTCCTCCCCTCGAGTGTGTGTATCCCTTGGACCCCAGCTCAGCTGCACTAAGTACTGGGAGCTCCAGCAGTGGCACCTAAGCCCCCGGGCATGTGAGCTCACGGCCAAGGGGACAGCTGGCTTCCTCCCCTCGAGTGTGTGTCCTTCCCACCTGGAGCCTTTTGTGCGCCCTTCTGTGGCATTTGAAGTGGGCCTGGCTGTGGCTGGTCTGCAGGCGACCCTCTCCTCCAGCTCGGCTGGGCCCTGGCAGTCTCCCCACCCTCTCCTCGGGATACAGAGGGGCTGGCACCTGCTAGCATAGCGCCACTTGACTCCAGCCTGTGGACCACCAGGATGCTGAGGTGGGCCAAGTCTGGACTCCAACTCTATGGCAAACAAGGTGGTGGGGCATTGTTCCTAAGGACTTAAGGTCTCCTTCAGCCAGAGACAATGACACAAAGTAAACACTTGTAACAAATTATCATGAAAGCTCATTTCAGATGGCTGTTTCCCTCAGCTGTGTTGACTCACAGATGCTGCTATGGAAGAATTTAAAGGAAATTGTTTTCAAGCCTCCAGAGACCTGTTTGTACAACAGGGAAGGTTGTATTTATTTAATGTACCTCAAGGTGTTTTAATAATGATCAGTGTTTTAATAAAAAGTATTTCGGGCCTCTGTGTCTCTGAGTCTAATTGGGACAGAGACAGGCTGAGAGCCTGTGTGTACCTTGGGCCAAGGGCAGGGTCCGGCAGGAGGACTCAGGCCAAACTAGCCGCAGCCACCAGAAGTGACCACCCATGGCCACCCAGCCGTGCTGCCGGAGGTCAGCTCCTGGGGCATGGGAAGAGAGCAGGCACCCAGATGCATGCAGGTCCCACGCATGCCTGATCCACAGCTGCCCCTACCTGGACGCCACATCCAGGGTTTCTGGGAAGAATGTAGATTGTCTTTAATTTGGGTTTTTTAAAAAAGTGCATCATTTGGTGGGAGTCCTGCCCTGTGTCATCTGCTAGCCTTGCATTTCCTCTCTGGAACCTGCTCACCTGCCTCGCCCTGGCACTGCAGGACTGGGCCCCTCAGCTTTTACTCAGGTGAAACGTCTCTTCATTCCCCAAGGTAGTGGGCCATTCCTGGGTAGCATTTTTTGTTTCCTGGCAAAGTGAAGAATTTTATTTTACTTTCAGTTCTTCAGCACTTTCAGAGGGGGGTGGGGGAGGCCTTTAAGTTGCTTTTTCTGATGGCGCTTCCTACAGGGCATTTTTCTTTGACTCCACATGGATGCTTTCTGGGAAGAGAAAGGCACAGAGCTGCAGTTCACATTGAAATGCTGTTTCTTGCATGTATGATGGCCAAGGTAGTGTTTAAGTGAGTTCTCAGCCCACCTGATGGGTGTGCATCAGGCAGTCAGGTGAGAACCAGCCTTCTCCTGGCTCTGCAGCTCCCCGAGAATTCCGGGCCATGAAGGCACCAGGTTGACAGCGCGTGGCAGTGCAGTTGTGCTGCTGTGGGTGGGCCCTGCTTGTTCAAGGTCCCCGGGCTAACACGGCTTGACACGCCCCCCACAACCTGGGCTTCTGACCAAAGCCATTTACCCCAAGGCCTTCCCACACGACACCAGGATAGTGGCCACAGAGAAAGGTAAGTGATGGGAGAGCTGCTGAGTCTTGAAGGCTGCAGAGGACCCCACAGGTATGGAGAGGGTGCCAGGACAGGTCAGGTGGTCCAGGTTTCTGTTACACATGCACACGTGCATACGTGCACACACACATGCACCTCTCCCAGAGGTGACTTAAATTGAAATCTGGAGAAGCCCAAGGCTCCATCACTCCCTTATTCAGTGAGTCAATAGTCTGTGGGGCTGGCCTGGTGACCTGTCACCATTGCTGACACCTCCAGCTGCTGCAGGGCGTTGCCCACCTGATACCTTGTGATGATAGTGCCCACCCCCCAACCTCCCCAGCCAGAACCCCTGAGGCCCCAGACCCAGGGACGCTGAACAGCTGCTGCTGTGACCATGCAGCAGACTCCAGAGCCGCGGCCTACAGTGGGCACCCACTGCTCAGCTAACAAACCAGCCACACGAGCAGCTTTTCGTCATGACTTCGGGTTTATTAGTGACATGAGCGAAGTCCTCCTAAGGTCAGCGCATGCAACACACAGGTTACCCCTTGAATGCAGTGTCCTAAGCTTTAGTCACTGCGTGGTAAGGCTTCTTAAGTCACAGTGTATTCTTCGAGGCCAAAGAAAGACTTCAGGCAAAACGACGTCAGTTAGCACTGATCTCGAATGAGCTGAGCTAGACTCTACCTTACTGTATCTCCACGCCCCAATGCTGCTCGCGGGGCCTGCGCTCGTGGCTGGTTGCCTCCGGAGTGGCAGAGGTCGCGTTTTCTGTTGTGGGTTTTGCTTGTCCACTGGGGAGCAGGAGTGCGATGTGTGTGTGTAGATAGAGATTTTAAATAGGGGCAGACGTCCATGCTACCCTCCTTGTCCCTGGCAGGGTAGCAGCCTGGTCCCCCTGGTGGGAAGCCTGGCTGTGAAGAGGCAGCCAGGAGTTGGGGGGTGCCCAGGTGAGTCCAAAGACACGCAAGAACAGGTGAGACTGGAGATGCAGGTGTGGTCACGGGTCATCGGAAAACCCTAGTCTGAAGAACAGCTTGTCGAAATAAAAGTCCAAATGGGACTGTCACCTAAATAAATATGGAGTTTTGATGTCATGGCCATCGTCATTTATTAAACTCAGGAGTATCCCTTTCTCAGTAAATTCAATCAATCACATGTCCCCATGCTTTCATTACAGTCATCCTGTGGGCCAGGCTGCCCAGGTTCCTGTGGAGCAGTGGCAGTCCCCGTAGGCCCCCAGACGTCCCAGCCAGGAGCTGCGTCCCCAGAGGCCTCCCTTCAGTGCCGCCTCTGGCAGGCCCCCACATTCACTTTCTACAGCTTCAGGGGGAAGGACACACACTCTACACCACACAGAGGTACCCTTACTCGCAATGAGGACACAGTTCAGAATGGGGCAAAATACTCGACTGTTTTACGAAGATGTGTTCCTGTGGCTCTCCTTGAATAAAGACATACCCCTTATCGGCCAGAAAAAAAAGTGGGTGGCAAGAGTATGCCCTTCAGGGGAGCAGTGTCCTTGGCTGGGCTGGGGGATCAGGGATCAAGGGTCAGGTCCTAGGTCCCAGCTTCCGGCTCTTCTGGGCCCAGGTGGGCCTGTTGGTGTTCCCGGCTCTGTGGCCAGGGCTGGGGGTCCTAGATGTAGAGGGGGGTCTCCTGGCCTGTGAGGAGCCTGAACATGGCAGCAGGCATGGTCTTCATGTGAATCTGTCAACAGAGACAGGAGGCTGAGCCCCGCCGCCCCGCCCGCCCCTCCTTGGAGGCAATCAAGTGAAAACAAGAAATCCCTGAGAGCGCTCTGTTTAGAGTGCCAGGCTTTAGAGTGCCAGGCTTTAGAGTGCAGGAAGCTGGGCCTGCCCAGGCCGGGCGACTAAGAACTCCCTGAGAGCGCTCTGTTTAGAGTGCCAGGCTTTAGAGTGCAGGAAGCTGGGCCTGCCCAGGCCGGGCGACTAAGAACTCGGTCCAGGACCTCGCAGACTATGGCTCCGGTTCCCCATCCCCGTCTTTAGAGGGTTTTACACTCAGTCAAGTGCTGGTTTTCCTTTCAGTCACGCTGACACCAGGGGGGTGAAACCAGACTTGTAACGGTGACTACAGTTGGCCCCCGGCTTGGGGCGCCCAGGCCTCTGTGCGCACTTTGCTTCACTCAGCGGGGAGCAGCGCGAGAGAGAAGACACAGCCCTGCCCACGACGTGGGACTGGCGAAAGCTGAGCCCTAGGTGCCTGGAGTCCCCGTCCTTTGGGGATCAGTTAGCAAATGACCCTTCGGGGCCTGGCCTCACTCCCGGGCTCCAAAGGGGCTGGTTACACCCACAGGGTGTAAGATTGCTCCCCAGGGAGACCAACTGCGTGGGCTGTGCACCCCAAATCCTCCTCCGAGGGCACTGGGAGGAAGGCGGGCTCCGCTCCAGTGCTGCTCATGCTGTCGCCAGGCCACGCCACCTGGGGCCGGTTAATCCGCTAGGATTCTCGCTCTGCCCTCAACCCAGAAGATTCACTCCCTGTAATCCCTCAGCCTCAACCCCCCCCACCAGGCTCATCAAAAGTTCTGGTTATGGCGCACTGCTACAGTGTGCCGCTTGTGAGTGCGGTGGCGCTCCCGCCGAGGGTTCGGATCCCACATACAGACCGGTTCCCGCTCACTGGCTGAGCGAGGAGCGGGCGCAACACCGAGGGGTGCGATCCCGTTGCCGGTCCTGGTCCGGTACGGGCGCGACACTGAGGGTTGCGATCCGTTGCCGGACACGGAAAAAGACAAAAAGGAAAAAAAAAAAAAAAAGTTCTGGTTAGCAGTGACTAAGTTTCCAGCCGTGCTCAGGAACACGCGGGAAGACACCAGTCCCCAACCCTGCGGTGCTCTCGCGCCTGTGAGCATCACTCAAGCTCGGCCCGCAGCTCCCAGGCAGGCCCCGCAGGCTACCAAGAGCATGGCCGCTGCAGAAGGCTGCGTAGGGGGACTGGGTTTGCCTTTCTCTGAAGCCATCTGTGAATAGCAGCTACTGGCCCCCCTTTCTCCCCAGAACCAGCCATCTGCCACCACCCCTCCAGGGGACGACATGCCTCTCCCTGCCCTGAGGTTTCAGGAACACTGAGGGTCCCACTCAGGAAACAGCACCCCACCCCCATCCCCACAGCCACAGAAGCAGAAGCCAGGTCTGCCACCCACACGGCCACCAGGGGGAGCCTGCACACTCCAGAATCACTCTCACCTCGGCCTGTTTACTCTGAGCTTCCCAAGGAAATCTGTGCCCCTACCCTCTGTACCCTCGGCCATCCTCCTGCTGCCATTGAAACAAGGCCAGAAGGAAGTAGACTGCGGGAAGGTCAAAAGCCAGCGAAGTGGGAAAGGCCTGAGCAGCCTTGCACCTGCAGAGCAAGGACTCCCACACTGGGTGTGCACGGTCTGGTTCCAGAAACAGCAGCACAGGAGCCCACCTGCCTTTGCCCTGTCTGCTGAGACTTGAAATGGCTGCTGCGCAGGTCAACAGGGCAGGAACGGGACAGCCGCCGCCGCTGCCTGCCTCCTGCTCAGCACGGCATCCCTGGGTGGGAGGCACAGCCCAGACAGCCCCCTGGAGAGGGGGTGGCTCGCACAGGGCAAGGTGTGGAGCACACAGGAACCAGAAAACAGGCACATGTTCACCGTCCCAGCAGGGACAGGATCTCTTAACAAGGAGGGCTTTTGGGTGGGGCCCAGTGGCTTTCCTGAGCACATCACATACCGCCCATGTGGGTTCGATGATGGTCATGAAAAAAGTGTGGGCTGAGATGCCCCTAGACTTGGGATCAGGAAAATGACGGGGTGGGGGGAGGAGGGGCATGATCTTACCTCCCCGACCGAGTTGGACAGAGCTTGAACAATCTTCTCATGGGCCGTGGCCACCACGCTCTGCCCATTGATCTCGATGATGCGGTGGCCGACGCGGACGCCACCTCGCTCTGCGATGCCCCCTCTCATGAGGCTGCAGATCTAAGCAGACATGGTCAGGTCAGCACACAAGTTCTCGCCACACCAGACGGGCACACGCCACATCCCCAAAGATGGGAGAAGAGAAATTAGTCGCACAGAGGAAAACGCCCTATGTGATAAATACATGCAATTTGTTGACTCGTAACAGGGAAATTTATGATTTGGAATATGTTTAAATAAAAAGAGTCAACACAGTTGGGGAGGACCATCCAGGGCTCCGGCTCCCAACCCCCAGCCACCCTGGAGCCCTTGCTTTGGAGGGTAAAAGGCTGGTGATGTGCATAATTAGTGCATGTTCTAGACGATTCTCTGCCAGTGTACACTGCTCCTCTCTCACGGGAAGATGGTCATCATTCCCACCTCACGAGGAGCAGGGGATGACCTCATGAGCTGACAGATGTAAAGCGTCTGGGAAAGTGACAGTGAAGCCCCTAAGTTTGTCACCAACCACTTGTGAAATTCACTAAAAGTCAAGGCATTAGAAAGGTGAGCATTGGTGCAGAGACCTGGAAGAGGAGCTCAGCCCCGGCCCGGGAAGCACCCCGGGTCCTGCGGAAAGGAAGGCACCACGATAGGAGGGGAGGCTGGGGTCCTGGGACTCATGCTCCTGGTCAGCCCCAGCTGGAGAGGCAATGGGGGGGGAAGCAAAAAGGGCACTGGCCTCCCTCCACTGCCGAGGTTGTTAACCCACCAACAAAGCAAGGCAGAGTCGGGGGACAAGCAGCCACAGCCACAGCTGGGGGTCTCTCCTGTCCACCCCCTCACCCCACCCAGCCCCGGACACGGTGTTGGCAAGGCCGTGGCCCCAGAAGCCCCGTCCACCCGCCTGGCAGCATGGAGCAGCAGCAGACCTCTCCCAGCACCTGTGTCAGCACCCTGCCATCCAGGACCTTGCTGAATTCCTGTGGCCTTTTGTCCTCAGGACTTCCTCAGCCTGAAAGTTCCTCAGTCCTGCTAGCATCTCCTGACGTTCATGACTTTTTAGGGGTCCTCATACTTGAAAAGACAGGGGCAGGAAGGGTGGCCCTGGTCAGCACCCTAGCAGGTCAAGGGTCAGCTGCCTGCAGGAGATGCAGGTGCGGGTGGGGGGAGGTCCCAGGCAGGAAGGCCAGGCCCTGCTCCCCCACGTGATGGTTCTTTTCATTCCATGGAAAGGTTCTACCTATGGAGGACTTCTCGGTCTCCTGAAGAGAACACCCTCCCCGCCTCACCTCGGAGACAAAGGCTTTGTTGGGTGGAGGCCCCACCCGTGTCAGAGCACAGGCCCACGTGGCCGCCCACCCAGCCGTGGCCCACCTGCTCGTTCAGTGGGGGCCGAGCGCCAGGGCCTGCTGGAGGCTGCCCCCACCTGCCCCTGCGCACCTGGCCTGGCATCTCTTTACGGCTGGGGTAGGCTTCCAAGTCCACTGACTGCAGGCTGGTCCTGGCTGCCACCTGCCCAATTCCTCTCTGTCATTTGTTTTGT